GAAGAGACTCTGCTCTCTAATCTGCCCTGCTTCTGCTGCTGTCACATAACACACCAGAGAAAATGTTTTGAGTCAGAGCTGTTGTCAAGCTGTTGTCAGGGGCTCAAAAATATGTCCCTGCTTGAGAAACAAACTACTGTAGCCATTAGCCATTGTTTCTCACTCTCCTTGTATGTGTGTGTAATTGGATGAACATTCCTTGGGACATTACATTCAACCAACCAGACTGTCTGCCATTCAAGTTTTTTTTAAATCCAAAGAGCTGCTTGTGACAAGGTCTTGTTAGTCAGTGCGGCCAACTGTGGCAAAGGGATTTTTAACCTTACTCACTATGACTCAATATGACTAAATTTTCAGAAGTATGCATTTCTACATTGGTTGTATCTTTTACTCAGAGACACAACCTTCTTTTTAATATAAAAAATGCCAGATCAATAAATCATTTTCTCATGTGCCTCAACACCATAATTATTGTCGGTTTCAAGGCAGACTAAGCAATGCTGCACAGTAATTTGACTTTAAAACAAATTCAAAATTCAAAAAAGATCTGATAACCTGTTATAAAACCTCATCATAGCCTCCCTACATTTAGATTAGTTAGATTAGATCTTTTAAATGTCAGATTATTGGCTAACAAGTCCTTCTAGATCAATGATCGGATAATTGAAAAGAATATACCTGCATTTTCATAAATTAAAAAAATTACTCCAAAGCTTCGGAGCTTAATTTACCACGAAGTTGGAAGCATACTAGATCCAAAGTATTGTTAGCGTTATACTTTGCAGCTTTGAACTTACCAACATGAAAATAAAGCCATTTATCAGCTTGGTATCATTGCAGACTTAGTAATAACAGGTTCAACATTGACAGTGTTTGAGTATTTAAATTGAACTTATTTCATTCATTACGGTGTGTTTTCTTTACACCATCCTAATCCTGTTAAGGACTAAAACTGAATTTCAAAAGAGATTCCTAGGACTGCTCTTTTTAATTGACAGGGTTGAAAATGTCAACAACATTTTGTCATATTGTTGCTCTACTAAACTTTAAACAGACGCTGAAGAGAATCTTCTGGTTACAATAACAGTGTTAATGAGATTAACAGAATCCGTCGAGCATCTGGAAGAAAATTGAGGAAGACCTGGCTCAAAGTTCACTGTAAATGCACTAAGAAGCCATGATCGCTCCACTATTAACTATAACCAAGAGGAGAGCACATTAGTCCAGTTTTACTTGTATTACTTTTTAATATTTATGACTGGTTTTAAGGTTCTCCTCCTAATATACAAAGGCCTTAATGGGCTATATTTTGCTAAATTTTATTATTTTGTTCACTACTATGTTACTAATATGACCAATAGTAACTAAGATACTTAGAAGTAAAAGTTTTCAATATTGTGTTTTTTTGCTGAAACCATACCTGCTCTAATAATCTGCTTTTGATGGGAAGGAAGGGCCCTTGTATTGTCAGATCAACCAAAAATAACCAATTTACAATCCGGCTGAATATTCACTCCACATAGTTGGGAGAGACAGTCAAAAATGTCTCTTCAGAAGTCATTTAATACTAGACAGTACCAGAATAAATGTGATAGAGACCCTTCTGCTATACCACTATCACACAGGGAGGAAACGGATTTAAATATTTTGTGAAGTTTGGTTTTGGAGTAGTGCAGTCTGTGTAAGACTTTAAATTGAATTAGTCTGTATCTAGAACTAATGGAGCAGCTCTGTATACCGGACAAACATTCCTCCCACAGTACATCCCTCACCAGAACACCCAGTTCAGTGGCCCGGGCCTCCCGAAGACGGTCGGTTCCTGCTGGTATTGTAAAAGCAGTGACAAAGCGGGATATCAAATGCTTAGAGTCAGGCTGTGAGAGAAGTAAATCATAAAAGACGTGATTCCTTGTATTCATTGTGAATTCTGGGAGATGTTCCTGTACAAAATGCCTGACTTGAAGGTAACGATAAAAATGATGTTGAGGGAGGCGGTACTTAATTTTGAGCTGAAGAAATGAAGGAAATTTATTGTCTATGTAAAGATACATAGTTCAGGAGGTTAGGTACTGATACTAACGGGTCAGATAAACAAAACAATAAATCGTCAGCATACAAATTTACATTTAGCTGACACTTTTATCCAAAGCGACTTACAATTGCTATACATGTCAGAGGTCACGCGCCTCTGGAGCAACTACGGGTTAAGTGTCTTGCTCAGGGACACAGTGGTGGATGTCTCACAGTGGGAATTGAACCCAGGTCTCCCACACCAAAGGCAAGCATCTCATCTATGTGCCGCCACCACCCCTTTACAAGGCTCTCAACCTTACCGAACTTTATGCCATGAATATTTGAGTGACCCCTGATTCCTATTGCAAGTGGCTCTAAAGCAATGTCAAACAGCAGGGCAGAAAGTGGGTCGCCTTGTCTCACTTCCGCACTCCAGGTCAAAAGTTTGGGATCTGTCTGTGTTAGTCAGAATAGAAGATAATGGATTTAAATAGATTATTTTAACCCACTCGATAAAATTCATTCCAAACCCAAATTGTCGTCCAAACGTCCCTAGCATATAAGGCCATTCAATCTGACTGAATGCTTTCTGGGCATCAAGAGATAAGATGGCAGCTTGCATGTCCTTATATATGTTGTATTTTATAAGCAGATGAACATTGCTAAATGAGAATCTACCCGGTACAAATCCACTTTGGTCAGGATGTATAATTGTTGAGATATGTTTAACCAATTTCGTGGCCAGAACTTTAGTTATCACCTTCTGATAACAATTCAGAAGGGCAATCGGTCTGTAATTTGCAGGGTCGGTCTCTAATTTTCCTTTTTTTTGGAGTAGATGTATATTAGCTTCATAGAGTCAGTTGGGAAGCCTCTTATTTTTCACTGAAACATTCACCATCCTTAACATGAGAGGGACTATTTGTTTATGAAACGCCCTATAAAATTCGCAGCCAAAGCCATCAGGCCCTGCTGCTTTACCAGAGGGGAATCCTTGGATAGCTTCTAAAAGGTCACTAGACATGGTGTCTAGTTGTGGAATATTTAGGTTACCAAAAAAATTGCTAGAATCTATTTCGGTGGGCTTTACTTTGCTGGAATATAGATCCTTATAAAAGTCTCTGAAGTGAGCATTTATCTGCTTCGGTTCAGAAATTAATACGCGTGATGTAAATTTAATGTTATGGATGGCTCTACTAGCTTGCTGTCCCCTGAGTTGACTAGCCAATAACTTTTCTGGTTTATCACCGAGTTCAAAATGTTTCTGTTTGAGCTTTAGTAATTGGCTGCCAACACGCTTATTAAGGATATTATATTCATATTTTAGTTGTAAGATCTTATTATAGTCAGACTGTAAGAGGGAGGACCTATACGTTTCCTCAAGTGCTGAAAGCATCTTATCAATTTCCCTAAGGCGACCGTTAAGTTCCCTCTTCTTAGATGATTCAAATGAAATAATGTGGCCTCTCATCACCACCTTAAAAGTTTCCCACAGAGTAGAGTCAGAGACTTCCCCATTATCGTTGGTCGTAAGAAACTCATCTATACAAGCATTCATATGCAAAGTAAAAGAATGATCATCAAGAAGAAGGGGGTTAAATCGCCAATTGTATCTCTGTGTGGGCAGAATGTCTCTAAGCTTAAGGGACACCGGACCATGGTCAGAAATCAAGATGTTATGATAAGTGCAATTTGTAACGTTGGGCAGCAGTTCAGAAGAAATCAAGAAATAGTCAATCCTATCATATGATTTGTGGACATGAGAGTAGAAAGAAAAATCCCTGTCAGTAGGGTGCCGTAGTTGGCGAATGTCAACCATGTTCCTAGCCTTGAGTAAATCATTTAAGGTTTGCACTGAAGCTATAGAAGGGGCGGGTTTTGTGGAAAGTCTGTCTAGAGTGGAGTCTAAATAGCAATTAAAATCACCTCCAATAATGACATTGGGGCTGGAGGCTGGTATCATGGCTGGTATATCAAACCAGGGGGTCCATATTGGGGGCGTAAATATTAAGCATTGTCACTGGAAGGAGTTTATGTGCCCAGAAATCATTAAGTAAGTACCATAAGGTCCCCTTTTAATAACATGACCAAGGCCCTTAACATTCCATGAGATTAATGTTAAGTTGTTAATGATGCTGCTATGTGCAATACTGTCAGGCACCGATAATATACCTGAAGTAAAAACAACTGTGTAACTAGTTTGTATCACATGTTGAATGCATGCTGGCTTAAAAGAGCTCCGAGATACAGACAGAAATGTTAAAATGTCACAACCATCCCGGTCTCGCCTATATATCAGGGAAGCCAGCTGCTAGATAGTTTTACAAGAAATCTAAAACATATCATTTCACGTTAGCCTTTCACTAGCTATGAATTTTCTGATACCGGCATGAATTTTTTTTTAACATTTGCTTGGCATGTCAAATTTTTACTTGATTTTATGTATTCTATTTTTTTTTTCATTCAGTGGGTTTATTTTAC